AATTTACTTCACTACATCAGGTGGTGATGCAAGAATTTGTACATCTGTGAAAATATAGTTCTTATTTGCATGATGAAAATACTACAGCAATAAAAATAGGTGGAAGGAAGCTCCCTGTGTGTTTAGGGCAGGGCTGGGTTGGAGACTTTTCTCCCCTCTGTCATTCAGGAGTATGTGTTCTACACACAGAAACAAGAGAAAACAAACAGTTCCCGATCCAGAGAGGTGACAAAACACCACTGTAAATTAAACAACTGGCCCTTCTATCTTCTGTAGACAAAAGGAAAGTCAGGCTGACAACTCCCACAAAAATTACAGTAATAGCGTGTTCTATATGAAAATAATAACACCCAGAAATACATGAAATTTTAGCTGATCTTCACAATAAGATGTTTAAAAAGTTCACAATATTAGCATATATAGGACAGTAAATCACATAAGCCTAGTTATCCTAAGAGTTTAAAAGGAGTTTTAAAACCAATATTTTAAATTAATAAGTCCGCTATCTTAATATTCTCCTTTCTGAGTTCAGGAGACCAAAATTCATCACGTGCACTCACCAACACAGCCAGACTCCATTTCTATCTCATTATCTTGTCTTACTTTACTTCACATAACTTTTTATAATCTGAAATTATCTTACATATGTGGTTATGTATAAGATACTTACACATATAAGATAATAAGATAATGACCCACTCATTAGGACTTTAACTTCATTACAACAGAAATCTTATTTGTCCTTATTTATCACTGCACCTTTAGTACATTGAGGGGGGCAGAAAAAACTGTGGCTGAATAAAAGAAACAAAAGTGGCATAGCTACTAATTTTTTCTATACCAATAAAATAATAACAGAAGACCACAGCACTTATATTTTTCATAACAATATAATATTTAATGACAAACAGCATGTTCTACATCTAATATGGAAAGAAAAAGGTTACTTCATATTTGTACTATTTTTAAATATGAAGAAAGGTATCAACAAATAAGTAATAATACATTTGATACTTATATGACTTACTTGGTTATAACAGCTACAATAATATTGAGACTGAATACCTTGTCTTTCTATGCTAATATCATGGTATGTTTAAAGGAAAATTAAAGACCGTTCAAAATAATCATTATTTACTGGGATTTCAGAAGAGGTCTTTTAATTGGTGAGAAAATTATATGTTTATGTACTATAAAATTTGGGATACAGCCCTAGATTCTAGATTCTTTAAAATTCTATAGTCTCTAAGAAAAAATTTAAAACTTGATTTCCAAAATTTTCAAATGTTTTCAAGAGAACTACATCAAGTTTTCTGTTGTATCAAGTTGTATCGTCTTTTATCAAATGGCTTTGATTAAACCTTTTAAAATAGTCACAGATAATACATAGTATTTTTTAAGACGTATTAAAGTATTTATTTAATATTGTTTATGTAAGTCAATGTCAGCCAGGATATCCTTTGAAGAATACTCTTCTGGAAAATGACGGAATGTATGGCACAAATGGACCTCAGCATATAGAGGTTTTGGAAACTCCTATCAAGTGAGAGCCTGACATTTATTTGAGAGTCATCCATGATGATAATTTTCAGAACATGTTGGGGGAAGGACAGTATGGAAAATGTTCTAAAAAATAAACCAGTAGGTCAAAGAAGATGAGCTTAATTAGCAAAGGATGCAACAGAAAACTTTTCTTAAATTTATTTTAAAATCAAAAATATTCAATTTATTTTAATAATTAAGAATAGAAAAGTAACAACCTTAACACAATATAAACAAACTATTAGCCATAAATGATGGTTAAAAATAGAACAGCTTGACAGAATTCAGAAACAGATTCTAGCATATTAAAAATTATATGTCAAATATATGAATAACTGAGAAAGAATTATAAATAAAGGGAGAAAATAGTATTACAAACAACTTAAACTAATAAAATTGAAGTGGAATAAGAAATTATCAAAGGAATGATTTTCTAAACTTAAATATGATTAGAAAAAATCACAAAAGCAAAGATTATAATCAAATATTACATAAAAAGGAAGCAATTTATAATATGGAATCTAGAAAGATGGTACTGATGAACCTATGTGCAAGGCACATGGAGACGCAGCCAAAGACTTATGGACACAGAGGGGAAAGGAGAGGGCTGGAAGAATTGAGAGACGAGCACTGAAACATATGCATTACGATATGTAAAATTATTAGGTTGGTGCAAAAGTAGTTCTGGTTTTGCATTGTTGAACTTTATCACTTGAGATAGTAATACATGGTTATGTTTAAAAAAAGCAAAAAAAAAAAATTTAAAATGCAAATACTGATACATAATGAATACATAAATCTATGAGAAAAATAAGACAACACCACTCACAAAGGAAGAAATATAAATGCACTGTAGACATTTGGAAAAAAGTCCAGTTTCAGAAGTATTCACAGAAATGCAAGCTAAGATAATAAAATACAACTTTTTAATCTATTAAGTTAACAAGAACCTTACAAAATGAGAAATATCAAACCAAGGCACATTCATAAACTAAATATTAAAAGTTGGTGAAAAGTAGAAAAATATTTCTGGAAATCAGTTTGGTAGCACGCACCAAGAGTCTTAAAACTATTTAACCTTTTTTCTTCCATATTCTAGTAATTACAAATACTTTTCAATTACTTATGCATTGCTGCTGCTGCTGCTGCTGCTAAGTCTCTTCAGTTGTGTCCGACTCTGCGCGACCCCATGGACGGCAGCCCGCCAGGCTCCTCCGTCCCTGGGATTCTCCAGGCGAGAACACTGGAGTGGGCTGCCATTTCCTTCTCCCATGTATGGAAGTGAAAAGTGAAAGTGAAGTCATTTATGCATGAAGTATGCATAAATAACTATCACACAGAAAAGCTGAAAATAAATATTGCTCTATGACCTCATACTGACGAATGCAAAATTTATTGCAAGTTAAATTAGACATGATACAGCCAATGGATGTAATAACATAGATATTAAAAATTACAAATTAAAACCCACAATTTACATAAAGTGAAACATTCTGGAAATTCGGGAAGATAACGTGGGACAGTAAACTGTCTGTTGGCTAAAATCATGTAACTACTGTTAAAAGACAGAAGCTTTTAAAATGGAAAGAAAAACAGGTCAAGATATCAACAGTGATTCTTTGGATTATAGTCTTTTGATTCAAATACTTTTTAGGTGTCTTCTATAACATGAAATTACTATTTTTGAATTGGAAAATAAAATAAACCTAGGGATTCTCTGGCGGCTCATAAAGTAAAGAATCTGCCCGCAATTCAGGAGACCCAGGTTTGATCCCTGGGTCAGGAAGATCCCCTAGAGAAGGGAATGGCTACCCATTTATCTTCTACAACATGAAAATACTATTTTGAAATTGGGAAATAAAAAAAACATAGTTTTCTTTAAAAATGGAAGCTTCCTTCAGAAGAAAAAGAAATTTAAATGAAAATATTAAGATTACATTGGATACAAAGTTTCATTAAAATTTCTGCTTCCTGTCAGGTTTCAACTTTCCAGGTCGATTGCTAAGAGGCTTTGTATGACAGACGCTTAGGTAAAATCTCCACACAGTACACAATCCGCCATCAAGCAACCCCTGTAGATGACTTGTTAACCAAAACTCAATGAACTAATTAATAATGTTCAAACACCTGAATGTCTGGTAAACCAGATAGTAATATATTATTTTAAAAGGTTTCCAGAAGCATCTTTTAAAAATCAATGCTAAATTGTCCTCATCTACATTGTGTTAACACTTGAAGATATTTCTGAGAACACTTTAAGAATTTCAAGCGTACTCTTATAAAAAAGAAATTGTGTTTGGGTGATTTTTTAACCCCTGGAAAAAACATTTGCAATACACTAAGGTACTCAGCTTGCTTTATTAAAGATAAAATATGTCTGTAAAAATGGAAGTGAAGAAGGAAAAAAAGGCATCTTGGTTTTTTTACCCCCAGGGAAACTTCAGGTGAATTTGCAGCCCTAAGTTGTAAACTATGGTAATTTAGCAGTGAGGCTGATAGATTTTAATTAGGCTTCTACAATCCTTAGTGGCTTGGAGGTGGAAGAGCCAGGATTTTGAGGGGGCAAAAATATAACTATATTTTACCTCTTTTGCTTCTAAGCTAGTGATACCTTTTAAATTTAGAAAATACACATATATGTTTCTGCAAAACAATAATTTTTGTACTTTTTCTTCTCAATTTTTTCTAACTTTTTATTAAAGAAAATTTCAAAATAGAGGATTTCAAATTTCAAAGTAGAGAAAATGGTACAGTGAGCATAGCCTACCCTCCAAGTACCCATCATTCAACTTTACTAAGTATTATTTGTAGTCAATCTTGTGTCATGTTACATATCCCTATTCCAGTCATGCAAGGCTATTTTGAGTGAAATCCAAGACACTACATCTTTTCATCTATAAAACTTCACCATGAGTCTCTAAAAGACACTTTAAAACAGAGTCACAACAATGTTGTAATAATGTCTACAAGAAAAAACTAAAGCATTCAAATTTTTCAGACTACTTTTTTCTACATTTGTTTGGATTGTAGTATACATGAGTTCCATTTAAAACATCTGGTTGATACATCTTTTAATCAGTAAGTGTCCCCTCCATCATTTTTCCCCATTCTTTAAGAGTATTTTGTTAAAGAAAATAGGTTACTTGTCCTGTAGAATTTCTCACAGTTTCCTATAGTTGTTGATTTAGTCACTGAAATATATTATTGCAGACTGGTTATTTGAGTATAGCCAAAGAAATGCTCAAACAATGGAACTACAGCAAAACCACCCATGACCAATGTCAGAATGAAAACACTACTTGTTAATAATCTGAAGTGGGGAAAGCCCATAAAAGAAAGAATTGCTCTACTGTTTAACTATACAAATAAGTGAACACGTCTTCCTTTTTCACAGAAGTATATTAAACTGCCAATTAATCTTGGTACACAATATAAATAGCAAATTTGACAGTACTTACCAGTCTTCATCTCTAATAAGCGCTTTTTCTTTTGTTGGCGTTCAAGTCTTTCCTTCTCTGCCAATTCTTTGGCTATCCTGGCACGTTTTTCTTTTTCCTCTTCTTCTCTTTTTTTGAAATTCTCCTTCATTGCTTGCTGTCACAAACAAATTTTGGAAAATGATCAGTTTTAACCACAATGATTAAACAAAGAAAATGTAAAATTATTCACCTGTAAAGTTAAATATCTATTAGGTAATGGTTACTTCTTATATTAGTAACACAGTCTTTTAAAAGATTAGCACATTAACCCTTGTTAAATGTGTTATGTATCTAAAAATACAACTGTTACGTTTAAAGCACCTGCATCTTAGTGAAATCAAGTAAGAGAAGGAAGACAGAAACTAAAAATAAAAAAGGACTTAATTTACAAATGAAAACTGTTTTCCTATATATACTTCCAAAAGAGTGCCTAGCAAATGTATTACTCTCCCATACCTCCTTTACTGAGTAAAAGAAAAATAACTGATGAAAAATGATACAGAGCAGAAATATTGTAATGGTTACCTTATATGACAATCTATATTTAACAATTTCTTTCAGACAGATGGAAGTATCAGAAGGATCACTAAAGAAATACATGGCATTTCAAAGTCAGGGCCTCTGACTGTTCATCAAAACCAATCATGACAAGTGAAACATAAGAAGATCTCAACAGACATGCGATTAGTTATTTTCATACTTTTATAAGCTTTATGCAAATAAAAAAATGCCATTCCTGTGGCATTTGTAGGAATCAGCAGGTAAACATGGATTTTTCAAAGAGACAACAAACTGCATGTCATCACATTACAATCTCCTGTGGAGACTATTCTCAGTACCAATGAAGTCAAAGAGGTTATCTAATTGCTAGTTTATCACTAATAGAATTAAGTAGAAAAGTGTATAATTAAACTTTAACAAGTATGTGCCATGTTACTTTTAGCGAGGCTTTAATCTTGACTATAATACTTTTTTTTTTAACCCAAGATACAGGGCAAGTCCTTCATTAGAAATCAAATAATAAAGTTTGGTATCACTGATCAAAACAATTAAAGGAAAATTGCAAGGGCAAAAAGGAGAAACAAAAAGAATAGAATAGAGGGAGTGTTAACTCTTCCATGCAAAGAACATTTACTGAGAGGCTGAGTTGTAAATGCACACATGTGAGCATGCTTGGCTGCTCAGTGGTGTCCAACTCTTTCCGACCCCCTGGACGGCAGCCCTCCAGGCTCCTCTGTCCATGGGATTCTCCAGGCAAGAGTACTGGAGTGGGTTGCCCAGCCCTCCTCCAGGGGATCTTCCTGACCCAGGGATCGAATCCGAGTCTCCTGCGCCTGCAGCACTGCACACAGATTCTTGACCACTGTGTTACCTGGGAAGCCTGAACAGTAAGTGGTACTGTGTTAAAGACTTAGGATACATATTAATAGATCTAAAACAAGTTTACATACTGTGTGATAGGTTGAGTTGGGAGGCAAAGACAGATTATAAACAATTAAAATCTTTAACAAGTACAGTACTACAAAAAAAGGAGGGACGTGATAGAATTCCTGGAGAGTTATTTTATCTTAGTTGTTCAGACAAGGCTTCCCTCCTGGACTTAATTCAAGCTCAAAGTCAAGGAGCTATCTAGGTAATGATCTAGGGAGAGCCAAATGCAAAGGCTTTTGGTGGGCTGGAGAGAGAAGCGGCCAGTATGGTGGTGTTAAATGAGATCAGGAGGTATGCAGGGACCCGATCGTTTAGGATATACGAGAAGAAGATGAGGAGCTACAGTTTCCTTCAAGGGAACTAGGAAACAACAAAAGATTTTCAAGTAAGAGAGTAAAACTAAGTAAGATATAGCCCTAATGAAGCATTTTTGTTCCAAACTACCTTTCCAAAGATATGAACAGTCTTACAAAATAAAGGCAGTGTTTCCCTCTTAAGCAAATGGATTTGTTTCTTGTCCAGAATGATAAACTGGGGTAACGGTCAAATAGTCTTAATTCTGAAAGAAGATTGGGTTTTCTAAATTCAGGATTTCCCTCCAGTAATACAAAGCACTGTGAGTGCAGGTATTAAACCCAGCCCTTTTCACATTGCCTTGTGGGAATTCTGAGCTCAGAAATCCACAAATCTGTTTACTTTGGCTACTATTTTTGCTATAATAAACTATTCTTTGTTTCTGACCCCACGGTCTTTTGCCTTCTACCAACATTCATGAAATTATGGAAATCATGAAACTTTGGTAAATTCTCAGAAACTTCACAGTTCATGATATATATTAACATTAAATACTATTGGTAAGCTATGAAATTCTAGCTCCAAAAATACATATTTCAATATGCAATTCCTTGTTTCCTCAAAATGGAATCTGCATCCTCTATTCTGGCTCAGAATAACTGTTCTTGTTCACTACAATGAAAGGACGAAGAGGCAGAAGCAATACCTGAAAGCTACTTACAGTTTGTTTTCTCTGCTATCTGCCTTCATATTGATGTAGCATATGCTAAGAACCAGATACAGGATGACAGCTGCTATAAAAATCAACGTAGACTAGGAAAGGAGAAGGCAACCCCAAAGTAGAAAACGAGTGTGCTCTTAAAGGCAAGTGTGTATGTCTGTGTGTGTGTGTGTGCATGTGCACCCACATAAGTATACAGAAGATGGGAAAGGAAAACTGAATAGTGGTAGAGAAAAGGACAGGCAAATACATGGGCATCAAAGCTTGTTTCTTGTTCGAAGGAGATGAGTAAGAGGAACAGGTAATAGGTAAAAATATCATGTAGCCTTTTTTTTTTGGAACTTATTAAAGTATACAATTTCCAGATGTGAATTTTCTGCTTTAATGACTGGATGCAGTTCAATGAGAACATCAAATAGGTAACCTATTACTAGATATAATTGCCACACCTTTTTAGTACTCCTTTGGGTAATAAAAATTCAAAATTGCTTCTCAGGATCTACAGAAATAATGTTTACCTTGAGAAATAAGATCTGAAGGAGTTCTTAAAGCTATATTGGTCTATGGAAAATGCACTATCGATTTCCATTTAAAATACTATCTCCTTTAAAAGTATCCTATTCTGACATTAGAAGAATTTTAGCTGGAAAAATACCAACAGACAGCACAGAAATAGGTATTTAGTCTGAAAGTACTATCTCAGTTCAAGTGGTAATTTGGTTTTTTTTTTAATGCTAAATTTTGAGAAGTAGCCTAAAACAGAAAAATTGGTTCTAAAACCACATTATTCTAGATATAATTGGCTACTCATTTCTTCAATTCCAAAATTTGAAGCCAGGAAGGAAGTCGAGGGTGAGTCATATACAAAGGTAAGAGCTTCTCAGGCGGTACAGTGGTAAAGAATCCGCCTGCCAATGCAGGAGACGCAAGAAAGGTGGGTTTGATCCCTGGATCAGGAAGATTCCTGGAGTAGGAAATGTCAGCCCACTCCAGTGTCCTCCACTGAAAAACCCCATGAACAGGGGAGCCTGGCAGGCTGCAGTCAATGGGGTCACAGAGTCGGACGTGACTGACTGAGCACACACGTGCACATACATGAAGACAGTTAGCTATCCATTTCTTTAAATCGCCCTACGCTTTACCTGGTTTGCTATATAGTCAGTTGGCAAATAAAGTGCACTGCCCCCAACTTTCATCTATGTAATAACAAAAGAAATCCTGCATGCCGCAGACCTTGCAGACACAGCCTGGTGCGTGCTTTTGGCTGAAAGGTCTGTGGGCTCACCAGTCTAGGGCAACAAACAACAGAGGGCTGTGAGCCTTCAGACACATCTGGACTATTCATGTCAAAGGCGTAGCCGATAATCCACCTCCGTTCCTAAGGCTCAAGTGCTTTTAACAGCAACAAAAGACTCTAGAGTACCTATAAAAACACAGTAATAAAAATATACAGGGATCCTAAGGGATGCACGTATATACACATGTATGTCAACAAACAGATCCCCTGGAGGAGGGCGTGGCAACCCACTCTGCTGTTCTCGCCTGGAGAGTCCCATGGACAAAGGAGCCTGGTGGGCTACAGTCCATGGGGTCACAGAGAGCTGGACACAACTAAGAGACTACACACGCACACATGCATGTATGCACATGTGTGGGTGCATGTATGCGTATTCTGGAAGAACATAAAATACACCAGTTCACAACTGTTCTCCTGTAATTTATGCTCTCTTCATAACTAAATGCAATAACAAGAACTTTGCCACAGTAATTTAAACATACATTACAGCATTATACAACATATATTCCCTCAGAGAAACCAAAATAACCCAAAGCCAGTAAAATTAAACGGATGTGCGTATGTGTAGGAACGCAAAATTTAGAAGTCAGGCACTGTAATCCTCTATAAGATGTGCCTACTATATCATTTTTTTTTGTTTTTTTTTGATATTTGCCTTATCCTTTATTGTAAACTACTATGATTTGTTTTCTTCACTCAACATTATANAACGGATGTGCGTATGTGTAGGAACGCAAAATTTAGAAGTCAGGCACTGTAATCCTCTATAAGATGTGCCTACTATATCATTTTTTTTTGTTTTTTTTTGATATTTGCCTTATCCTTTATTGTAAACTACTATGATTTGTTTTCTTCACTCAACATTATATTTCTAAGTTTCATCCATATGTTTATGTATAAATTGTGCTTCCTTGTCACTGTTTTTAAAATTAAATTGGGTATTATTGTTTACTCTCCTATCAGTGGGATTGGGTTGTTTCCAATTTTGAGCTAAGATGAATCATGCAGTTACAAACATTCTTGTACATTTCCCTGTGTATATATGTAACAGCTTTATTTTTTTTTTTGGTAAATGGCAGGTCTCATTGCTTCTTAGATTTGTTTAAAACTGCTGACACATACTCTTTAAGTGAGAGCACACTCCTTCATTATAGAATGTAACATTTTAGAATATAAGGACTGAGGATAGGTATTGTTTGTCTCTGTTGTAAAAAAACATAAATATAAGAGTTTTAGGTTCCATTGTGGGTGAGGACAAAACAGTTTGAAATTCACTGCTTTCTAGGATAGGAGCACAACTGATAAACAAAAGAAGAGGTTCATCTTCAGTCTTTCTACTAAAGGAGGTCAAAATGCTTTCAAAGTGACTGAG